ATTCAAATAAGCAGCGAATTTTGCGAGCGACAACCAATGGGAGTGAAGTCAGTGGAGAGCACGCAATTCATCTAAGCGACAAACAGCGAAAAAGTCGCTGGCGGTGTGAACGGGGCTTAAATCCTTATGAACAAAAGTCTGTACATTTACTCATTAGCTCATCTATCTATCTATCTATCTATCTATCATTAATACACCGATTTGCTGCTTAAGATTACTATTATTACACTTTTAAAAAATAAAGGTGCTTAAAAGGTTCTTCACAGCGATGCCATAGAAGAACCATTTTTGGTTCCACAAAGAACCATTCAGTCAAATGTTCTTTAAAGAACCATCTCTTTCTTACCTTTCTATAATCTGAAGAACCTTCTTTTCTCCACAAAGAACCTTTTGTGAAACAGAAAGGTTTTTCATATGTTAAAGGTTTTTTATGGAACCATTAAGACAAAAAAGGTTCTTCTATGGCATCGTGAAGCATCTTTATTTTTAAGAGTGTATTACCATCATTAGTTGAAAATGGTTGTGCTGCTTTTTTTCTTAATTTTTGATGAACAGAAATTTTGATGAACCACTTTTATCTGAAATAGAAATCTATTTGTAACATTATGAACATCTTTACTGTATTGATTTAATTTAATGTGTCCGTTTATATCATAACTGATTATATCTTAATACACGTTTCTGGTCTTCTGTATGATTTATTATGCCCATTAATTCAAGGACACACACACAAACAAAAAAATCCAACAAAAAAAAAAACCTCTGAACCATTTGAAGCGTCATTCCCTCTTATTTTTAACCCCTTCCTTCTGTGCACCTGTCATATAGAGACCACGTACCATGATCCAATCAATTCCTGAAGAATTAAATCCCACTCTACATGTTTTTATCATTAAACATCCTGTTTCACTCTGAGATGTCACACTGCAGAAGTAAAATGTGTTGCGAATGGTGTCTCATGTTGACCTCAAGAACAGGATTATTTCGCAATGTGCCTTTCCTGGATAAATCAGGTGCACTTATGTAAGTGACCTGGTTTACAGACATGCAGCAGTCTGTAGAGATCTTTGAGATGCTGTCCTATGTCCCATCCCGCAGTTTTGGAGAGGTGTCAGGACTCAAGCTAGAGACGCCACCTGCTCGGTCTCTACGGCCTGTGCTCATTCTCTCTTCCTCTATTAGCCTGACTGCCTGAACCATCCCCTGCTCCAGTTTAGATAGAGCACAGACATGAAGTAAAGGACTGCAGCCAGACAAGGTGTCCAAATGGACAGAAGAGGATGTGACAACACACAAACAGGAGCACACACACACTCAGACAGAAAACAAATTACACATGGTGTCACATCTCAATCTGTGCCTCCCATTAAAAGACTTTACACTGAGCTTATAATTAGAGTGAAACGTAAATGTGTGGGAACAGACAAAACTTCTCAATTAGTTTCTCAAAGACTGAACCTTCTAGCTTAATGTAGGCAAACCAGCATTCACAGCACACTAATTAAAGCACGGCTGGGAGATTTTAATGGCTTTTAGAGAGCAAGGGAACTCAGAGATTTATATTGCCCAGTAACAGGCTTCACTGGCCACGTACACACTGCTGTTAAATATAGCAGTTCCTCGTCTAGTGAGAGCTTAATCCCATTCTGTACACAGATTCGCTGCTTCTTTTGATAGTATTTAGATGGCAGAGAACAACACTGAAACCTAACTATTCTAAAGTTGATTTTTGTCTGTGGAAGAAGAATATAAGCAAGTTTGGTATCAAAAGTCTTTGTTGTACTTGTTACATGAATGTACTATTAGTACACTATAGCAAGGACACAAACTCTGAGCCTGACTGGAATTTTTCTAACACTCAATTCTTAGCCAAAAATATTTGATATACCTTGCTGTGATGGTTTTTCTGTATTCTAATCTGCATTTGACTCAATGTGGCTACAACTGGCTTCTAAAAGTTGGAACATTTAGTAACCAAATGTTAAGTGGAAAAAAAAAAAATCACACAACAATGGTTATGCAGAAGCATTTCAGGTCAATGAGGACATAAGTTGCTTCTTCACCTTTAAACATATCACTGCTGTGTGCTACGATGGAAATATGTTTAGTATAATATCCACACGGAGCGAAAGTGCTGAGGATCGCCACGGATCCGCAAATGATGTCAGTCAAGGTGCGAGAGCCAGCAACCGAGCCCGCCACAAGGGACAATGCCGTGGACAGAGAGAGCGCGGAGTGGCGCTCCGCCCACTGCACTGCGGCTGAGTGTGAGCTGATTATACAGCTGGGATTGCTGGAATGCAAGGAGGACCTTATAGACTGGGAAACAGAGCTGGAAGCCGACTTGCCCCCTCTCCTCTCTCCTTCGTCCCAGCTGGTCCCGTCCAGCCCTGAGTGGGCTCCCGTTTCCCAGTCCAGTAGAGAGAGGGTTCCAGGGCAGTCCACAAGCTCCGCCAGGCTCCCTCGTCCCTCCGGCTCCGCCTTGGTCTGGTGTCGACCATCCTGCGCCTCGGGACTCCACTCCTCCGGCTGCGCCTCGTCCCTTCGTCCCTCCGGCTCCATCAGGGTCCTCCACCGCGGCCTTTCGGATCCGCGTCAGTCGCCGGCGCCATCTGCTCCGACTTTGCCCTCCGGATCCTCCCCGTCGCCCTGGCTCTTCGGCTCTCCGTCTCCGCTTCGGGCTCCTCCGCCGCCGTTGGTCAGCCCCCTGGAGTCGGCGGCCATTCCTCCTCCATGGCTCCTCCCTCCGTTGGCTCCACCGTGGGCCACTATTATAGCTGTGGCCAGGGTCCCACCTGGCTCCTCCTCCTGCTCCGGTTCCCTCCTGTCGTCTCCCTGGCTCCTCCCTCCATCGTCACCTCCCTGGACTCTGTTAGCCATCCTCCTCCCGGAAGGCCGTCCTCCGCCGGAACCTCCACCTGTCTAGTCTGCCTGCCAGCCCTTTGCCTTCCCCTGTCACCATCTCGCATCCTCTGCTTTGTCCTCCTCCTAGTCCCCCTCCGCCCCTCCCTCTGTTTCTACGGTGCGAGGACGCACCTTCCGGGAGGGGGGAGTAATGTAACGCCCCTGTGGACTGTTTAC